AGTAGCCTCTTGACACTTTCGGCTAGCCTCTTGATACGTTTAGCTAGCTCCTTGTTACTTTCAGTTAACCTCTTGCTACTTTCAGCTAGCTCCTTGCTACTTTCAGCTAGCCTCTTGACACTTTCAGCTAGCCTCCTGATATTTTCAGCTATCCTCTTCATACATTTAACTTCCTTTGATCATTTTGCTTCTACATAGTTATATTTTTGCTGTGTTTCCTTTAGCTAGTTTTTTTTCTTACTTTTAGCTATCATTCTGCCTATTTTAGCTTTTAATTAGGCTTTCTCTTCGTTTAGTTGGCTATAGTGTTCTGCATGTATTTGCTTTAAGGCAGTAATGTTCTGCTTCTTTCAGCTTTAACAACGCCGTTTCAGCTTCTTCAGCACATTTCAGTAGCTATTCAGCACTCGTCGCACTGTATATTATCACAGAAAAATATTTTTCTCAGTGGTTTGTTGCATTTTTTTTATTACCAAAGAAGCTCATTCATTTAAACAGCTAATATTTTGCAGCCCTGAGTGGCATAACTGCTGAACAGGACTGACGGCATGCTGAGATTTGGTCTGGTGTTTTTACTCTTCTACCCCCCGGGTTAGTATTAAGGCATCATTTAGGCAGGAAAATATTTGTGCCAATATGGACAAACATTCACCAATGAAACTGTAATGTCTCCTTTTTCAGTCCGCTACAAGCATTTCAAATTCAACCACTTTGTAATTAAGGTTTAAAAAAAAAAAGCTCAAATCAGCTAAGCATTTTGTTTGGAAAGAGCAAACAGCTTTAATAACAAAACAAGTCTAGACAGGAGATACTGTTGAAATACGTCAGGTGTCCCACTCAAACAAGTAAAGAAAACCTGCAGAGTTCGAGTCTCGTTAAACTTGTGGATGATGAAGAAGCTGACCAGATCTACACTCTGCATCAATTCAACCCGGACAAATTCTTTCCCAATTATTGAACAAAGAAACAGTATTTCCAAGTTTATTAGGGGAAAGGAATTCCTCGTCCTACTCAGACATATTGGAGCTGACAAAAGCCAAACACGCCACACACACCCTGCTCTGAAAAGAGGAGCTTAAACAATCTGGTGTCTGAGAAAGACAGAATCTGCTTTTGTTTTCAGGAACTTCCGAAGTTGATACTGAACGAACGAGATAAACAGTTCCTAAACATGAACTCGTCAGGTATCCAGCGCCAACATAATAAAAGAGCAAGGACAAAGATCACTCTCTGAAAGAGTTAAAAGGTGTGTCTGTAGCTACATGACATACAGCTGATTTTTATTAGCCACTATTATAGGTCAAATTCCTAAAAAGAGGACAGAGAAAACTGTTAACCCCAGATATTCACTGCAATTTCACAATAAAAGCCTGAAAAACATATTTACACACTAAATATTAAACACAAAGAGTTTATAAATTAATTAACAATAGTAAAAAAAAACTCAATATAGAACATGTCCCATTGTTATTTTCTTTACTAAACTAGTTTATAGTTAAAAATGTGAACAATGACATTTAATATGCTTAAATTAAGTTTTACACGATTCCACTCTTTAACTATGTGTCTTAAGATTAATACTATTTCTGTGCTACATATTTCCAGTTGTTTAAGTTTATTTTACCTCATTTTTACCGGTCTATTATTGCTGTTACACATCACTTATGTGTACTAATCCTAGTAAATTATGCACTACTGAAAAATCTTGTGTAATAGTCAAATAAATCCACAAAGTCAAAGTTTTATTAATTATTTTTTTAATTGTTTGGCTGCTTTGACGTTATTTAGAAAAATAAATCTGAGGGACTGTGTGGGTACTAAATATTTAATTATATAGTAAAACACAATCAAAAAAGCACATGTGGCTTTGAAGGTTTATTTTATTTTTATTTATTTATTTGGTGGTCAATTTGATTTTTATTGTAAAAAATATGAGTGACTTAATCCGTGTTTGTGTATACCAGTTTAATACATGGCTTTAAATTTTAGCAACATCTACTTTAGCTAAACATCCTAAATATGTTAAACAAGCTTAATTTGTCTTAAAATCTGATCAACTTTATTGTTGAGCGTATGAGTACTTCACGTACTTTGTGTAAACTCTAGCTCTAAAGATTGAACGCAACACTAAAATCACTGAAAATGCATTTTTTTCTCCAACAGGTGAGCACTTACCTCAGGTGCGCTGATGTTAAACGCCTCTGCTATCTTGGCGTACAACTCTTTGACGTTAGAAAACCCCTCGATCCTGCCGGTCGGGCTTCCGTGGGCCAGCTGCGTGTGGAAGACCAGTTTGGGCCGCAGGTTGGCAGGTGGAGGCGGGAGCCCCGCTCCGTTTACGGCGGATTTAGCCAAGCTCCCCGCACCTGCGTGTCCGCCGCTTACCTCCTCGTTCTCCACCAGATGCTCCTTCGTGGATTTGTTTTTCTTCTTCCACGGTCCGTACGGCATCTTTTGTCTATTTGTAGATTTAATTCTAAAGCGAAGGGAGGCAGGGAAAAGTCCGAGCCGCTACGATGAACAGTGAAGTGACCTGTTGAGCTCCGAGCCCAACGGTCGTGTCGTCCTTATTTACTTCCTCCTTTCCCGAGTGTCTTCTTCGCTTCCGCCAACTCACCTGCGTACAGACAAGCTTGAACTTTTTTTATGTCCTTCTGCGACCTGAGTTTATCTAAATATTCAACAGGTAGAGGGGGGGAGTGAGTGTGAAATACACCCTGACACAACCTGCCACCGCTGCCCAGTCCTGGACCAACAATAGCTCCTCTGTTGGTGTATCAGCGTGTTGTGGCGCGCAGGCGCAGTGGGATGGACCCGGGATCCACAGTGCACCTGTATACCACCTCAGGTTGAACACCACCCTGAATAGCAAGGCGGGTTAATGTCACAAAACGTAGAAACTAATGTGACTAGCTCTCATATTAGGCTCAAACTTTATATTAAATGTACTGTTAAAAATATATATATAATTCTTAGAAGAAATATATCGCCAGCCATCGTTCATGGCTGCGTTTTATTTCATCTGATGTTTAGAAATGACGGTCAGATCTTGGAAATGACGTAATCGCGAAAGGTCACGCTCTGAGTACGTGTTGTGAACGACTCTCAGCTACCAACACACTAAAATTTAGCTGAAAATCTGTTAAATCCACAAAGTTGCAGCCATTTAGCTAATAAGGATTAGCTGTGGCAGCCATATTGAATTAGTTTAACTCCAGATAATCAGTTGTAGATGTAAACCAATGATTATTTCCTGAAATGTTCATTAAAATCTATCAAATGCTACCAGACAAAGTGAACACTGGCAGTTCATGCTGGTCTCATTGAATCCCACATTAAATTCTAACACAAAATCTGTGAAATTGGCCTAATTATAGTCATTTGTGTGTTTTCTAAGTTAAGTTGGCTGTGGCGTCCATCTTGATTTGGGTTGTCTTCAATCAGTGGATCTAAATCCAGTAATTATTTCCTGAAAGTTTCATTAAATATATCAAGTTCGTAAGATATTTTGCTAACAAACAATAAGAGTTTATTTTAAATTGTTAATGGCAAAAAAAAAAAAAAAAAATCTTTAAACAAATATCCTCCACAGTTTGTTAGCACTAAGAAAATGTGTTGTGGGTCAAATTTACCACTACCATGCCAAATAGTAAGTCAGTTTCTGTATATTTGATGGAGCTGTTGCCAGTTTTGTGTTTTTGAAGGTCAGCTGGCAGTGGCGGCCATCTTGAACTGACTCTGAAAGTTAATCATTTGTAGATACACTGCACAACTTTTTTCTGCAAGTATTGAAATTTGTCTGCTGGTTCATTAAACTTTTTTGCAAACCAACAAACTGTTTGCTTTAGGCCAAGCAGCATCGTAATATGTAAGTAAATGCATTTAGATAAATGATTTAATTAAATATGCCATTGAAAGGTATTTTCTCATTTTAAATCAGTTTTGTTCTGTCACTTACACTTAATAAAAAGAGGATTACCAGCTGAAAGCCTCCCACACAGAGTAGGTGTGTTTACACGCCTCTTTCGCTGGATGGTAGTGACTCAGCATTTGCACAAATCTTTAACACACGCCGATACACAAAGAACTGCAGAGTTATTATTAGAAACAAATATTTAGTTTGCAAAAGTAGAAACTAGGAAGGGCTGTTCTGTGATGAGTAAAGTGGCGCCCCCTGGTGGGAAAACACCTCTAATGTTAAATTAACACACCCATTAACTGATAATAACATTAAACTCAGTCAGTATTTTATTTTTTATCATGGCACATCAAAAAATGTAACTGCATATGATTTACAACAGCTAAATATTCACATTTGACTTTCAAAATATATATTCATCTCATTTCTCTGGACATTAAAGGACATTTTTATTTTTTGCAGTGTTGCTACACAACTAAAACCCTAAACTATATAAGCATTTGTTTAAACAATCATGAATAACAGACTATCTCTCCATAACTGGAACTGCTTCAGTTTTCTAAATGTGAAAATATAGATGTTTAAAATTCAAGTCTTCACATTGAGCTGGTTGAGTCCGTTACCTTACAAACAAACAGCCTCTAATTCAGTGGTTAGTTATCCATAAGAGACAGCTCAAAAAGAGCCCCATCAGATGTAGACGAAAGAAAGAAAATGTTCTTTTTGGTACAAAAGTTTATTCCCGGGATCGCTGGTAATTCTTGGCGCCTTCTTTTCCAGCCAACAAAGTCCACTGCGTTTCACGTAACAGTCCAGGCACAAGCAGTTCTTCACTGTATCGGCTTGGCAGCATGCATCATATTTAGAAAAACAACAAGCAGCTCAAAAATAGAAATTGCACATTCATCAGTTGGGGGTCCATCTGTGCACGGTCAGAACCATCCTTGTGTAAAAGTGACTCGTATCGAGGGTGAGACACGTCTCGTGCCTGTCTCCATCCTCTCCTTTGGTTCTTTGTGTCCTACGTAGGTAAGTGTCTTTTCAGCACGTCCTTGGCGTTGCCAGGTAGCACGTCGGGAAAATTCACGTCAAACTCCACCACCAGGTCTCCTCTCTGCTCGGGGTTTTTGGGAAGCGGGAGCCCCTGTCCGGCTACGATTTTCCTCATGCCCGGCTTGATGACGTCCGTGATCTTCATGTTGGACGTCTTCCCGTCTATCGAGGACACGGTAACCGAGCACCCGCACAGAGACTGCAAAGACAGAGAAAATAAGGGCGTGCGTGAGGATCGTTTGGAGAGCAACATGACTCACCAACAGTCAGCCTCCCCACCATCACCGGCATCTACACCTCCAGATGCAGGAAGAGCCACCTGCATCATGAAGGACCCCACTCACCCAGCACACACACTTTTTGACCCGCTCCCTTCAGGAAGGAGGTTGAGGAGTATTAAGTGTAGAACCACTGAGGAACAGCTTCTACCCTGAGGCTGTTAGACTCATGAATCTCTAACCAGAATAATCACTGTGAAAAAAATCACATCAAGTTGCTGCTGATCTGTTTCAAGTTGCTGCTGATCTGTTTCAAGTTGCTGCTGATCTGTTTCATGTCGTGTTCATTCGTGCTCATCTGCTCACACAGACTCATGTTCGTGCTGCTGTTCGGCGTATTGTTTTTATGCTATTAGTGCTTATTGTATTTATAGTTGATGTTTTTCTTAGTTCATATCTTAGATCTTATTACCATTTTTTTAATATATATTTTATTGTTGGATGTAACTGGGACCCTGTGTACATAATTTCATTCCACCACATGTACAACATGTGGTGGAACGACAAAAAAAGACTCCCTACAGACAAACAAACGGTTTAAAAAGGACCATTAGATGAGGATAAATCAGCAATATATTGTGGTTTCTCATCTGATCAGCTGTTCTTTGCATACAGTGACTGCATATCAATAAATGAGGCCGTGAAATCGATCACAGAGAGCCGAGGTAAGTGGGAAGAACCGTATTAGCGCCTTTCACATCATGTGCACGTGGGCGATCGTCGCCTCTCTGCTGAAACCGCTCCTGCTCTCCAATGTCAATGATCTGGGTTACATAAGTGAACAGCTGGTGCGTGTGTAGCTCAGTACGATGCTCATTCAGCATCCCTGTACTTTTATGGTTCCCAGGCAAAGACCACCTCCAGTTTATTGATTGCGACCGGGTTTCTCTGGGTTTGAGAGCTCGAAGCAGCTCCGTCATCTGAGGGTGAACTTGTTCGTGTGTGACTAATCGCTCTGTCGGTTTCTATTTAAAGCGCAACGATCGACACAAGATCTAAAATAGAAATGAGCTCACCTGTCTTAGGCTCACGCGAACAGGATACACAATGTTAGAGCCCTCCCTTCTGAAGTGAGGGTGGGGTTTGTCCTTGATGATGAAAACGATGTCAGCAGGGATGGTGTTGGGCGATTCGTCTCCCTCCCGCGGAAACGTGATCTTGGTTCCCTCCTTCCATCCCCGTTTGATCTCAATCGTGAGGATCTTGTCCTCCGTGCGCATGGTCCTGCCGTCTGGATTCAGCCTCTTGCGGGATATTTTCATCTTCTTGGTGCAGCCTTGGAAGACCTCTTCCAGGGAAAGCCTCAGTTCGTGGACAATGGGCGGGTCCTGCTTCCGGCGCTGCTGGCCGGCATGGCCGTCCCGAGGAAATCCGTTCATGTTGAAGTTGGTGAACGAGCCGAAGGGGTCGTTTCCGTCCACCTCCATGTCCTCGTCGTCCCTCCCGTTCGCTTTACGCCCAAAGAACATCTCAAACGGGTTGGAACCCCCGAAGAAGGTGGCGAAGGTGGCATGGGGATCTCCATGGAAGGTGTAGGTGAAGGCCGAGCTCTGACCATCGGGAGCAGGTCCATTTCCTCCCTTAAGACCTGATGAGAAACAGAACTGATTCATCATAAACAAAGTAGCTCAGATTTTAGACCAATATCTGCAAGAATAACCAAGTTATAGCCATTTTGTGTTTTCATGTGGATTTTCTGTGGCGGCCATCTTTAGTCTGGTTGTTTGTATTCAATTGTAGATGTTTGTCCAATGATTACTTTGTTAGAGTTTCAATAAAATTTGACTTTTTTTTTTTTTATCATAAATTGTCAACAAACATACAAACACACACAAACACAGGTGATTACATGATTGCCCATCTCCATAAAGATTCCATTCTAAACACAATCATTTAGCTTTTTTAAACTTGAATTTGACTTTGGTTAAACGTTTACCCTTTTAATTTGTAAAGAACATAATGTGTTTCCTCGCAACAGCTAAAAAACAATGTTAGCTTCAGGTTATTGCTGCTACTGTATAAAATTCATTTAGACTTAAATTAATTTAGTCATGATAAGCCACATTCTACTTTTTAACATGGTAGGAATCTCTAATATCATATATTTGGAAAATTAAATTAGACCTAAAGTAGGGATGCTCAATATTGGCTTTTTGGCCGATATCCGATATGTTAAAACGTATTTAGCCAATACCAATACCAATATTTTTTTTACCTAGACCTACTACAGAGACTACATAGCGTTCTCTGCTGGTGAAATTAAAATGCTACATTATTCTGCATGGTCTTTGTCAGTTTGGCCTATCTATGTGTGTGTGTATATATATATTTTTTTATATATATATGTATATATATATATATATATATATATA